TATGACTTCATTTAATTTGTTTAAATTAGCAACTTTCAGGAACGCGGTGAGGCGCAGAAAGTGTAAGCCTGTCGTTTTCCCTAAGTCACATTAAATATTAAAAAGACCTTTCTGCTTTCATTTCCTTAGCTTTTACAAGTAAATGTTCTTGAAATCAAAACTAATTAATTAAATACCAAGACCATGATGTGAATATATATAACCATGACACAAAAAGCTACTTTCTGTCTGTGCAATAATCGCCACTTCTACCTCATGCCATTTATTCCGTCCCTTTGTGCAGCTTCACACAGCGTGCAGTGCACCTCCAGTTTGATAATGCGCTGCGTTTGATACTAAAAAAAATCTGCTGTTTTCAAGGCAGGAGTAAAGCTGAGTATGGCAGGAAGAAGTTATTTTAAATAAAGCACATACAGGCACAGTTGGCTGGAGGTTAAAGAATGAGGCTCTTAAATGGAAGCATGAGGATTTGGAGCCTCTCAATTGAGTGAGAACATGAGAGTGTGAATAGAAGAGAAAAGGAGTAATGGTGAAAGCAAAGTGCCCTTAAATATGTCCTTCAGAAGCTGACCATGGAAAACTGGGGACACTTTATACACCTGAAAGACTGGGAAACAAAGCATAGGCACTCACAGAGAGACATAATATGCCCTCCTACAGTCTAAAAACATGAAGGTTAGGTGAAATAGAGAAATAGCGTGTGTGTGTGTGTGTGTGTGTGTGTTCTTGAAATAGACTGCCAACCTGTTGAGAGTGTAGTAGGGTATAGCTGAATGCATGCTGGGACAGGCTCCAGCAAACCCCCTCTAAGCCTGCATGAGATAAGAAAGGACAGAAAATGAATGGATATTAATTCCCACCATGCAACACACTAAGTGAGCTTTCTCAGGGTAAGTAAAATAGTTATCTCATTAAAGTACATTTAAAAGTACATTAGCGCTGTAACTTTTGAAAGAAGACATGAGTTTTGTTACCTAACAAATGAAAATTTACATAAATCACATCCTTACTCAATTCATTGCAGTCACACACGCTGCTCCAGCTTTCCTCATTCTGTTATGATCACGAGATTTCGGGTGCTAATGTCAGTCAAAGCTGAGTCCTTTCCCAGTAATACTTTTTGGTACAGTACACAAAAATGCTTGTACTTATGATTCAATATGAAAGTTACAGAATCATTAAGAGTTGCTGATAATGTCGGTGACACAAAGTAAGGCGTTTGAGGTTTTTTGAAGTCGTACTTCAGCGCTTAATGATTTTTGTGCCCCTTGAAGTAAAGCGGTGTAACCACATTCCAGGTTTTAGCTGGGGATCAGGCTGACTGTAAAAGAAGGCATTTGAACTGTCATACTCAGAGCGCTTACAGCCTATTAATATTCCCGTTCCCGTCATAGTGTGCGGCTCTGGCTGAGAGTACTGTGGAGGAAGATGGCACGCGTGCTCATTGATGGTGGGTGGGCGTGAGATCGATAAATATAAAGTGCTGTTTTTGCAGCATAAAACTGTGTTTAATGTGCATGTGGATAGGTGAAAGTGGCCTTCAGAATAAATAAGACTAAATGTAAATGCTAGTCCATAATAAGATTTGGCCATGGAGCTGCGTGGAAAGGCAATAACTCAGAGGTCATGAAGTAATGAGGCACAACTTTAAAAGCTTCTCAGTATTATGTATCTCTTGGGGGTGCGCGGAAAGAGTAAATATTGATTCAGTAATGAGGAATGAACGGGTCATTATCATCCTGTAGCTGAAGAAAGTCCTTGTGGAGAAAGTGATCCTTACAACTTACCTCCATTGTTTAACAGATAGTCGTGAACCAGTCTTCACCTATTGATTTATCAACATGCTACGTGACCGTCTGTTCTCTGGCAGCTCATCATCGTTTACTGTGCAGCCTCTAATTCACTCAGCAATGACTCCAGCTTTAACAACAACATCAACTGCACTTCAATTACACAACGAGGGACTTAAATCGGACCAAATTGTGCAACTGAAGTTTTTACCCAAGTGCCTCTGACAGACACTCCACTCACCGACCACTTTATTAGGTGCACTTTGCTAGTGCTGAGCTGGACCTCCTTTTATCTTCAGAGCTGCATTAATTTTTCATGACATGAACTCAACAAGGTGCTGGAAACATTCCTAAGAGGTTTTAGTCCATATTGGCATGACAGCGTCACACAGTTGGTGCAAATTCAACAGATGCACAACCATGATGCGAATCTCCTGTTCCATCGACATCCCAAAGGTGCTCTGATGGATTGTGATGTGGTGACTGTGGAGGCCATTTGAGTGCAGTGAGCTCATTGTCATGTTCAGGAAACCAGTTTGAGATGATTTGACTCTGTGACTGTGCGTGATCCTGCTGGAAGGAGCTGTCAGAAGATGGATATACTGTGGTCACAAAGGGATGGACTCAGGTAGGCTGAGGTGACTAGCAGAGATGGGCAATAATGTGTTACAGTAATCTGATTACTTTTTTTCAAGTAATGAGTAAAGGGATTACTAGTACAAAAAAGTAATTAGATTACTGTTACTTTTCCGTAAACACGCTGTGTTACTGCGTTACTAAACCGTGATTTTGTTTATGAGAGTGTCTCATGACAATGACGTGTGAGCGTGCGACATCCATGGCAGCAGCAGACGTGTGTAGATCAACTGTCCGAAAGTCTCCTTATAGTTCAATCACATCGCTATAAGTGCAATGTTAATTTCTGCCGATAAGTTCCACTTTGTTCTTACTGTTTGCTGCGGTGATGACGTCACATGCTTTTACGACAGTCCTGTTGTATCACGAGTCCGAGGAACACTAGGCATGTTTTTCTCCATGAGTGCGGGGGAATAGTGATCTCCAGCCGTGTGCGTTCCTGTGCAAATAACCACACGTCTGTCCACCCCTCCCACATTCGTTAAGTATGCCTACTGCTGTACTGTTGAGCTGCTGTTAACTTCCATTAAAGTATATCTGGACATCACTCTCTGTGCCCCACTCTCTGACCGGAGTTTAAGTCCTGAGGGAGCTATCATCCTAGCATCCCAGAGATAACTCTCTAACATCAACAATGGATAATATGGAGTGTGGGAGACCATGCAGCGTTTAAAACTGGGAAGTACTGACATTACTCTGAGTTTGATTCCGTAAAAAGTGACAAAAACACTAGTGTCTGTTGTACACTCTGTGTGGGAAGAAAAGTTCTTTCTACAGCGAAAAATAAAACTTCAAATCTGACTAAGCACCCAGCAAACCTCCAACAGCCCCACTCCTGCTAAACAGGTGAAAATCTACTTAAGAGAGACAGGACTCAGTGCTGCTGAATCTTTGATTTTATTTATTTTTCGCTGTGTTTTACTTGCATCTATTTGAAAGAGTGAGTGTAAACACAAAAATATTTCATATGCAGAAAATAGGTTTAAATGTTAAACAAATTTCTTCAAGTCAAAGACTGTTGCATATAATTTAATTTTTACTTGATGCAATGTGTATAAAGTTTAAAGATTAAAGCTAATAAAACACAAAAAGTTGTTAAGAAGTTTTAACAAGAGACATTTTCATTTGATACATTTTTATTTGATGGAATATGAAGAAAAAAAAGAATTGGGCTGAAAGGTCTGTTGCTTCATTAGGTATTCAGGTTGTGTATCATGTTTTTCAAAAGTAACTAATGAAGTAACTAACTACTTTTGAAAATACATAATCAGTAAAGTAGCTGGATTACTTTCTTGGAGAAATAATCAGTAATTAGTAACTAATTACTATTTTCAAGTGACTTGACCAACACTACTGACTAGGGACCCAAGAAAATATCCCTCACACCATTACAGTACACTACCACCACTGGAACCCATATATTTGAGTATAATATGTAACAAAGTAATGTATGTGTGTAACGTATGAGCTCAGAATACTTTTTGTCCTATGCTTCACTTCTGGTTTCTAATAATTTAATTCATAAATGTTACCAACACTAGTCCCTCATCACCAAGAAGTAAATCGTCAAGGAAAATGTTGCTTTAAACTAAGCACTGAAATCACTCAACAACACTGTTCTGTGTGATTACAGCTGTATATATTTAAGCCTATACAAGTCAAATAGTATGATTTTGTCATTTGTGACATTTTGAAGAGTCCTAGGTAGTTGAGTATTTAACCCTGTAAAGCCTGAACCAATTAAATAATTGCCAGCAAATTAAATATTTTTGAAATTCTATTTAATGAATCTTATGACAAAAATTATAAATTTGTACATATGTGTTTTCATTTTTTTGCAGTTCATTTAAAAAAAAAAAAGAGAAAAGAATCACACTGATGATGCAGACGTCTCAAAAACTCACAAATACAGCTGAATCTTAACACAGGGCATTATGTGGTTCTAGTTGCTACAAAGGCAAGGAAGTTATTTATAGGTGTGTTTACAACTAGAAAAACACCATACTGGAGCTGGAGAGTCATATTTTTCCACACGACATGTTGAACGATATTCGGAAATTTTATTATTCACACCCAAGTGCTCGAACAGAACAATGTATTTCTAATATGCAGCCACAGTGACAAACCCGACAGCAACACGAGTGCAATACACACAAACTTAATTCATGAATTATTCATATGAATTTATTTACAAATCATGTTCTTGCCGCGTTTGGGTTTCCTTCTGTGCAAATGCATCAATTTTCACCCTAAAGCCATAAAGTCCTGTTTGTACCACTCACAAGCTTTAAGTTCTCAGATCTCAGTTCTCAAGTCTTTTTCTTTGTTTGTTTTTCCACACTTTTTTTAAAATCTGGTCACTATTATGATGAGAACTAGCTCAAAAAATTGTAACAAAGATGCACTGTCACTGTTTACCTGTCAAGGGTTTCTTGATGTTCATCTGCATCACCGCTCATCTACAAGACAGTCCAATTAGGCAGCTCGTCTCTTTGGCATGCATGCAGGAATTGGGTCGTATTGGGTGGCAACACAGGTGGTTTGAAACTCAAAACATGAAGCTCAAACTAGTGATGTGACGTTCTGTATCGAGGCTTCGAAGCGTGTGTCGAGTAATTGAGGGGACGTTTCCGCGAAGCGCGTATCGAGGCTTGCTTCATTTATGGGAGGAGCTGAAAATGATGACGTCCGAAGCCTCGCTGCCCGGCTGTACCACGTGACTGGTTCATGAAGCGGTTCAAACTTTGCCGCGAGATATGACAGCGATATAAACCCCTCAGACTTCATTCAAAAATGTAGGTGTTTGATGGAGAGTTGCGGTTAGTGAGAGTTAGAGACAGTTTGGAGAGAGTTTGGAGGTTTATGAGAGTGAGGAGAGAAAGTCAGGAGAGAATGGAGCCAGCTAAGAAGAGGAGGATGTCCTCCCCTGTGTGGGAACATTTTGATCTTATTCCTCCCAACAAGTTATGTAAATTTCTACAGAAGATGTATTTTCATAATACTGATGGTGCAATAAAACATATGTTAAGCTGTCTTTACTTTTGTACAAGGTGAAGTGTTTGCTATGTGCCAGGGAGCTGGGATATAACAACAACACCTCATCCATGCTTAGACACTACAGAGCTTTGCATGAGAATAGGGGGAACACCGATTGTGGAGCAAGACCAGGTGAGCTATCAAATGTCATGATAATATAGCATGCAGTAATGTTACTAAATGATATAACAATATTATACAATGCAATAAGTGACGTGTGTGATATTTATATTTGTGCTTTGTTTTTGTTGTCTTTCCTCAGGAGAACAATCTCAAATAGATGAAGACCTGGTTAGCATGGTGATTGAGGACTTCCAGCCATTTAGCATTGTGGAGGACAAAGGATTTAAAAGATTTGTTAAATCATTAAATCCTAGCTATGTTCTCCCCACTAAAAAGGTCATAAAAGCAGTGAAAATTTAGTTTTTACAGAATAAAATGTGGGCAGGACTGAGGCTCAAAGCCTCAGTGTGTAGCTGTCCATACCTGAACGTTACAAAACCACAACCACTGTCCACACCCCAACCACACCTCACCTCACAGTAAACGATCATTTCCATTTTAAGCATTTCCAAATGATCATTGTTGTTGACATTTACAGGCTGTGTGCAAAATGCCACACTCTTCAAATTCATGCCAACTAATATTTTTACGTCCAGTAGATGTCCTACTAGAGCAAATGAAGCTTCAAGAAGCTTTGCGCTGGGGTGAACCAATTGGATGAAAAGCTTCAGTGCTTCATGAAGCTTCATCTGCCCATCACTAGCTCAAACTAGAAAACATAACCATGCAACAGAGACCAAGAACATTACCAGCAGGACAGAGGAACAACACAGCACAGCGAGAGTACAAGACAACAACAGAAGAGGAAAACACAGGGCTTAAATACACCAGGGAGTAACGATGGAATGGAAAACAGGAGGTAAGCACAGCTGGGGCTAATCTGACATAACAAGACACAGGAAGCAAAGCAGGATACATTGATATAGGACACAGACTATCAAGGTAAAACAGGAAACAGGAGATAGGCACAGAGACGCGGACTTCACAAGGGGACACGGCTGACGGGGAAGACAGAGCGAACAAGGAGCACAGAGACAGGAGTAACAAACTGCAACACAAGGACACGACTGGCTTTAAAGACACAGGAGACACTAGACAGGAAACTAGACAAGGGGCGTGAAACACAGGGGAGGCATTGAGACAAAACCAAAGAATTAGAAAACTCCAAAAGATATAACAAGAATTTAGGCGAAACAAAGAATATTAATGATCAAAAACATAAACACTGAGTCACCAAACTCAGGACCATGACAAATGGTCTTTCTTAGTCTATAAGAGTGGTTTCATATTAGCATGTTTATAGTCACATTAGCGGTTCATCTATTAAAACAACACATCATAGCAAACTGTAAAAGAAAACTGCAGTATTCACCGTACACATGTTCAATGCTTGAGTCAGTGTCGACCTCACGTACACACTGTAACTCACATCATAGTGGCTGTAATGAGACCCCGTCAGCTCCACAGCAGGTCAGAATTTTCACTCGTTCCTTAAAATGTCTGAACATTTACTTGATGGACTGTCAGCCATTACTGCAATAACTCACAAACTATAGTTTTAACCCTTGTGTTGTCCTCGGGATTCCCATATACTTGTTTGCCATTCACCTAGGGGTCATTTTTGACCCCTAGGTTAGGTCTAACCCTAACCCCTAGGACAGGGGTCTGCAACCTTTAACACCCAAAGAGCCACTTGGACCCGGTTTCCACGCAAAAGAAAACACTGGGAGCCGCAAATACTTTTTGAAATCTAAAATGAAGATAACACTGCATATATTGTTTTTTTTTACCTTTATGCTTTGTGTGAACAACTAAAGTAAGTAAGTAAAGTTTATTTATTAAGCGCTTTTCACAGAAAGGCAGTCACAAAGCGCTGTACACAAAGATTAAAATAAACAATACAATCAATAGACATTATACAGAATGTAAAAGATCAAATGTAAATAATGTAAAGAATATAAAATACGTAGATCAACAAAAGGCTTGTTTGAACAGAAACTGCTTTTTAAAAGAATCCACAGAGCAACTAAGGCGTGTTGCTTATGAAATCCATGAAGTGCTACAGAGAAAATTACATTTTATTTAAGTAATTAACACATTTTGAACTCTTAAAGAAATATAACAAAAGGAAAGACACCCAGCTGAACTAAAATGATCCAGCAAACAAAAACTGTTGTGAGCCGCCACCCTTATATCGCCTTTGGGCTGTTGGAGCCTTGACCTGACTTTTAAAAAGTAATTGGAAAAAAGCACTATGCTGCTAAAAAAGGAAAAATAGATATTTGCAAAATTCTGCCTAAATATGTATTTTACCTGGTTAATGTGTGTGGCGGGGCGTGGTCTGCAGCGCCGCTGCAGGGGAGTCGGACGCACCTGAGCGGTACCGCAATCACGCCTCGCCACCAGTCTGTGCTCTCTCTGCTGTTGTGTTGTCGGGCTGTGAGCTGAAAAGCTGCAGCCGGCTGTATGCGTACAGCAACCGTGCGTGAAAAGTGGTCAGTAAAGAGATGCTGAAAAGCATGTTCATGCAAACATCGTCGGGTCTGCCGTGATATGTTTACAATAAGACTTATGGTCCCGAACCTCTGCGCACAGCATCTGCAAATCGGGGCTTTCATCTTTACGCAGGACTTTAAGCTGTCATCTGTGAGGCGTGAGCGGTGTTTGTTTTAACATAGTTCATGGTGGAGCTGCTGACATAATGTGGATCCGAAGATCCATAACTGGCCTACCTGGGGTCAAAAGTCTCGATAAATGCACAGCGTTTCGGCGGGTACACCGGCTTCCGCGAGTGTGACGCTTATTTTGAGCGGTGAAAAAATAATATAATATAATTTTATTTTTATATTTCAAAATCACAATAATCTTCCAATTTAGAACTACAAGTTAAAAAAAAGAACTAAACACAAATAAAATACACTTAAGCTAAATACTTCTAATTTATTTTCCCAGTATAAGGACAAAAGAGCCGCAGGTTGCCGACCCCTGGTCTAGGACAACACAACGTGTTTGCTTCATTTACTTACATGACAAGTGCACCTGTACTGATGCCTACTCAGGACCACTTGGTGTTACATGTTCACAGACCTCCGTACCAGCTGAGTGCAGATAAAACAGCAGGTGTTGCTGTGGCGACAGTGTAATGACACGATTTTCATTTTTGTTCCATTTCTTTTTGTTCGGTTTTACATTTTTACAAGGTTTCATGTTAAATCACCTCTTGGCAGTGTTAACCACTTGACCCCACCTACAACAAACAGCTTTTCAGCTATTTCCTTGGTTACCATGGTGATGTATCATGCCACAATGACAACACCAGCAGGGCACATTTGGTCATACCCTGTATATTGAAAAATGATGCTAAAAGGCCAGGCAGTGCGTCAAGACAAGCTGAATGTGACAGTGGGATGGTGAAAGAAAAAGCAGGCAGGAGATTTACAACCATCGGTTTAATCGAGAAATGCACACAAGAACATGGTTGTAGATACTTGAGTAATCATGATTCAAGTTTTATTTACATAGAACCAACAATAGTGTAGGTAAAAGAGTGGTTGGAGACCACAGCACAACCAAAATTGTTTTCCAGTATAACCTTGGGTGCTTCTTTGACCATTTGCAGTCTGTTGCCATCTTCAAAGTGACTTCGATGCGATACATCTTTTAGTTGTAATATGGTAATTAACTGTGATAAATTGGTGAATAAGTATTGCCAGCAACATACTTAGAAATTCATATTAACTACGTAGATTGTGAGTGCAGCCAGAACTTCATAGTAATTCCTTTATAATAGTGATGCAACAACAAAATCTCATAGATGCTCAGCAAACCTGCTTTTATATAGGAATATAACCAGAATGCAAACAGTTAGTAATTAGTTGAGTTGAATCCACACTGCAAAAAGATGTGCAGCTACCACATCAGACCATGATTGGTACCTGCCCCAGGTAAGCTGTGCAGTCCCCTTGTGAGCATAAGTGGTCGCCTTTGAGGGTGTTGCTCAACCTCTAGGTGAACAGTTGGCCACTGCAACTACTTGCAATCATATGAATGTGAAAACATGCAATCACTGTTCAACCACCAAGTTTTCTCAGTTGCGAGTCAGTTGCCTCCTATTTATACTGTGGTGCCCATGAGCTTTAAAGACAGTCAGACAAGTGACGTGACATGTGTGCATATAATGCGCAATTTAATATTTTTAAGATCAAATGTTGAATTTGGAAAGATCTATGCAAATCACCCCAATAACCATGCACCTCAGACCGTGCCCTCGTTGAGCTGTATCAACACAGCATCTTCCCTGTGGTGGAAGGAGCAGTGTTTTGCCTTAATTAACCCACTTAGATTGTATTTGAGGCCGAGATTAAACGATACCTTTCATTCTGTGCCAGTAGCCAGCCTCGTTTGTCTTCGGGACACAGTCTGTTTTAAGTCAAGGGTAAAGAACAACGCATTGGGTGGTTTACCAATTGTGTACCTCAGAGTTGGGATAACTGAGCAGAGACCCTCTCTCTTATGAATTGATTACTTTTGCATCACTCTGGCGTTTCTTGCTTTCCTTTGTATCGGTGTTTTTGTGTGTGTCTGAGTGATACAGGGAAGGGGGAGGCTCGCTTTATAACACAAATTATTTTCAATGGAGAAAACCGCTATCACAAAAACACAGGAAATTAGATAGGTTAGACATTCTTCTTAGCTTCAAAAAACTCCATCTTTGGTATTCATGTGAGCCCATGAGGGACCTGTAGAGGAACCTCCCTCCTAATATTCAGAAGGATTAACTCGCGGTGTGATAGAGGACACACTTCCTTTCCCACATTCCTGTTATAAGAACTAATTAACAGGCAGGAAAAACATTCAGCCTCGAACATTCATTCTATTCAATTCAAAAGACTCACTCACGGACCACTCATCCTGAAAATGTCAGTTTGTGCCCAATAGATTTTTTGGTAAAGTGAATTAGTCAGTACTTCAAACTGTGTGTCAGTCAAACACTTGAGTAATGAATAAGTAATTCAGGTGTTTGCTTTCTGAAGGAGGAATAGATCAATTGCAAAGATCTTCAAAATGCAGCCATATCACTCACTGACAGAAGAAGGGAGAGAAATCGATAGATCAGCTCTAACCTAAATCAGTATACGATGTCTTTTTCTTTTTTTATTTTCAGCCACAACTTTCTGACAACTGATAAACAGGACACGTTTTGCATGCAATCAATAGCGTTTGCAGGGCCGTTCGACTGGGTCGGACCGATTTAAAAATTAACTCGTTTCCCTGAACTGAAGCCTATACTTAGAGCTTGTCGGCGTTTGACCACACACTTACACAAATTAAAGTGATCTACGCATCTAGCGAAAA